CTCACCGGACCACACTTCATAAAACTAGATTGGTCACATTTGTAGAATTATGGTCTACCATTATATTAGTACTGCTCTAATAATAGACCTAATCCTAAATTTGTAGATTCGTCATGATATAACTGCCTAATCTATAAGATCTTACGTGGAAGTCACACCATCGACTACACCAACTCACTGTATCGTATCAATTACCAATGCATGATGTAGAACAAGGTTAGGCTAGAGAAAGAACAATATATTTAATATGAATAGAAGATATAAGGTAACATTCCGCAGAGACCACGCCTGCATGGCCGAGCCATGCCACTCGATCACCTCCAGACCATTCAATTCATTCTCCGCGCCTTCTCCATCGTTAGGTATTTCTCCGCGTTAAATATTGAATATCTATTTTCTGAGTAGTCTCGTGTTCAGCTTTGTGGATTGTACGGTTATTGTTCAATGCCACTACACATTTGTATCAATACATTATTATTAGTATTATTACTATTATTATTCACAAACATCTTATGGGTACATAAGTGTTGTGAAGAAATCATTTCGGGTTTCTTCAAAAATGCAATAATACACAAGTCTCAATAATGTTAGCATTATATTTGCCATATTTGAAAAAAAGAGTAATAATAATAAGATAAAAATGATTAATCAGGTTCTGTGTAATTGAGAAGAATATTGAATTGGTTTCAAAGAAGGAAAGAGGGAAAATAAGGGAATACAAATAAAGGAGATATGAAATACTCAAATAGTTTAATAGGCGTGTTTATGAACACAGAACATGAATAAACGACCATGTGTGTATCAGCCAATTAGTAACAAAAAATAATTCAGAAAAAATAACTTATTATCGCAGTAAGATATGACGTTAGAATAAATGTTTGTGCTGTTATAGTTTAGAGTGATGCTATGAAAGTCTCAATTAAGTGAAAAGGATAACGAAATATCAATATGCATGAGTCATATATACATAGTGAAGATAAAACGAGTCTGAGAAGTTAATTTAAGCGTAATACAAGTTATTGTCTTAATTACAAACTTCGTAATCTTGAGAATGATATTTATTTAGAAGGAAAAAAGAGAGAGAAGTGGACACCTACTGAAAAGGTTCATCCATGATAGTAATAATTGTTTAATGAATATTGACCATAGAAGGAAACCAACAATTTAAAAAAAATAAATCCTTTAGTGCACTCGGATAAATACATGTAGATTTATGTAATAGCATACAAAGCGAAACCGGATATTAGTATAAACGTTTGTGCAATAATAATTAACAATGATGCTATGAAAGTCATAATTCATTTCAAAGAGAAATCAGAAATTAAATATGTTTAGAAGCATAAGAAGAGATAAAAAAATATCTAATATATCGGGGGACTAATCATGATATTCATAACAGCAATAATTATAGATACGAACATAGCCAGACTTCATATATTGAGATGAATGAAAATAAAATAGAACAGACGTGAAAAGTTTCAAAGGTTATATTTTGCTTTTAAGGCAATTAGATGGATGACGGACCTTTTTTGTATAAATCATTATCAAATATATTGATGTTCAATAGGTGACGCAATCCACTTTCGAAAAGAAAATCATCAAACAGACTTCTGAACCGGGTCGTAGTTTTACTGCAACGGATGTTCACTGGCAGTCTGTTCCACATGGTGGGGTAGCGAATAAGGAAAAAAGTCTAGCGCAAGTTTGCGTAGGTTCTTGGAATCGCCAGAATATTCCCCTTACTGCGTAAATTGTCGGATAATATCATAGAGTATAAAGGGGTTGATACCGAAGAGTAGCAGGGTGTGAGAAAAAGGAGAGGTGATAGCTTTAGATTACCACATGGTTGTGGCCAAGATGGAACTGAGGCTAATGAAGCACTGGAGGACTGAAGAAACAGCATTACAAAGTTTTAATACTCACAGACATTATAGCGACCCACGTGCAACTGAGTTTATTCTCATTTAACTCAGTTAGGCCCTTTTGATAACTTATTTAGCGGATAAAGTCATCCGCACTATAACAATTTATTGTACCCCTATTATTTTGTGCTTGCATGAAATACGTATGCTTGAATATTGCTTACTGCCTACTCATTTATCCACTCTGCTAGTCTTACTACTGACCACTTATTTGATTCCATGACTCATTCGTTTCACTAGGTATATATATGTCCATGTTATTCATATTCAACACACACTCTCGTCTCGCTCTTGCTCTGGCTCTTGCTCTGGCTCTCGCTCGCGCTCGCTTGATTGTACTCGCTTACTCATATTTGCTCACTCGCTCGATCGCTTGCTTGCCTTTCGGCACAACTCTTCTATGCTCGTTTAACGCATCTGTACATTTGGATATATGTGTGTGGTCTCGTAATAAACGTAATCAACGCTTCGTATTCACCTTCCGAATAATATACCGTTGGGGCGTTATATAGAACGGTTATCAAGACGAACTGTATACGAAGTCTAAGGATTCTATTGAATACCGACCACCACAACATAATAAATTCACAATGCATCTCAGCACAGTTTAAAAACCTTGCAAAATATACTTAGAGAAAAGGCGATTTTCATGGACAACAACCGAAAAGTGACTGAAGAAACGTTTGCAGTGGCATTGGACAATAGCCACACAATCCACAAAACTGTGAATACGAGACTACTCAGAAAATAGATATTCAATATTTAACGCGGAGAAATACCGAGTGGCATGGCTCGGCCATGCAGGCGTGGTCTCTGCGGAATGTTACCTTATATCTTCTATTCATATTAAATATATTGTTCTTTCTCTAGCCTAACCTTGTTCTACATCATGTATTGGTAATTGACAGTGAGTTGGTGTAGTCGATGGTGTGACTTCCACGTAAGATCTTATAGATTAGGCAGTTATATCATGACGAATCTACAATTTAGGATTAGGTCTATTATTAGAGCAGTACTAATATAATGGTAGACCATAATTCTACACGTTGACTTCAAGTTGCCAGGATGTGCTGGAGAGCTAAAGCGCAATCACAAAAATGAATTTCCGTTTATTACTATGGCAGGGTTTAAGAAAGGAAGGATGAGAAGACAGCAATTAACAACAATTGGACAAGAACAGAGAAATTCATGCCGAACACACAGAAATAAACGAGAGAATGAAGTGGCACATTATAGCCGACAAGCAGAAACACATAGAAGATCTAACAGTGACAGCATTCAAAGCTGCAAGAGAAGGAAATGTAAGACAACTGTCTGGTACAACGAAGAAACTAACAGGGGAATATGGTAAACTAGAGCGATCAGTCGAGAACTAAGAAAGCATGTCTATCGCTGAGATGCATGAACAGTGGAACATATGTGCAGACCACTGTGAAAAACTAATGGGCAGACCAGCCCAACTGAATCCGCTAGACATCGAATACCTTACACGTTCCTTTTCACAGCTGTTACCTCAAAAGCACTAGAAGAATACAGAGTGGCTTTTTTTACTCGCTTCTTTGTTTCCGCATGGTCGTCCATTTACCGTCACTCTGGATAACCACATCGAGACCACTAGGAATGGTGACGTTCTATCCGGGTCTTTAATTTCTACTTTAGAATCATGGCCATTTACATCAAGTAGTATTTCACTCTTTGGTAGTTTAGAAAGAGGTTTTACTTTCCCGTGATTCACAGATGGGTGTTTAGCATGTCCCACAACAGCAGGTACTACAATGACATATTGTTTGCGGTCAGTACTCGTGTTAACAGTGCAAGCACAATCAATCTTATTGCAGGCCAGAGCCGGGAGGCTATGAGCCTTCCGGATCAATAATGTCTTATTCGAACAATAAAACGTACAAAACCAATGCGAGTTGAGCTTCGAGCATCTTTTGTATGGGGTGGGACTTAAATGAATACATATCTTATGAACCCACATTTTGCATTCACTACATTTCATTTCTTCCTCCACGGAGAAACAAAAATTTGGCCGTCTATATTTATAAGTACTGCCGACCATTGTTAATGGAATAAAAGGGCTAAAAGACGACTATATACACAATGTGATTACTGGTGTCGTAATCCACCAAAGAAAAGTACCTCGAAGCAGATCTACGAAAATTTTAAACCTTAACCGAGATAATTCAGGTAATACGGGCAATACAAACATAAAAGGAACATATGCACAAAAGAAATAAAAGAAGATAGGCGTCGGCAAAGCTAATCGATAAGTTTGTTTCGGATCCAAAAACCTTATTCCATCACACAGTCTCCCTTTGGCAAGCCATAACCGGAGTTTCCTAACTGCTAAGTCCTAATGGCCCAACCGGCAACAACAGTGACGCAGCTAAACAGTACTCTCGGACATTACAACCGACTCACACTAACTATTTTGATGAAAGCTCCATCTGCAACTCAATAGGATGCTCAGAAGCGAACTTGAGTCCTGACGTGGTGTACGGGAAACTGCGTCACCTAAACAAGGAAACTTTTCCTGGCCCAGATATGGTCCATTCTACTATACTGAGGGAAGCAGCTTTCATTTTGACAACACCGTTTGGCGTGATCTCACATTCACTAAACCGAGGTACATCATCAGAAAATTGGAAGCAGGCTCACATCACACCAATTTTCAAAGGAGGTCGACTAAGCAAATCTTCGAGTTATCGACCGGTGGCTCTTCTCTCTATACCTTTAAAAATTATGGAGTCCCTGATATGCGACGGTATGCATGACTATTTATTATCCTTAAGCTTCTTTTCACCCAAACAGCACGGTTTCAGAGGGGACCATTATTGTATAACCAACATGCTGACTGCGGTGGACAGAGCCCCTTGATTGCTAGGGGTCTTGGATTTTAGCGCGAAATCCATCCACACATTTGGCTAAATACTATTTCGACATTATAGCTGATGTCAGTTCGTGATTAAAACACTAAATATAGTTTTCAACCCTAGTCAGCAACTCTGGATCACGATTATAATTCCTTACATTGCTTAATAACCCTCGTTTAGTCCTTGTTAGTAGGTGGACATTCCCAAGGTCATTTCGGCATTGCTACAAGGTCGTTCGTAAACTACAGTCTCATTACTTATTGGGATCAACACTGTTCGGTATGGGACAGGCATTCTTTTGGAAATATAACACCGTTATGTTTTTTTTCGGCATTGAATATACGTGCTAATCCTCGTTCATTATTTCAGTCATTTTATTTTATGCGAATACTTTTGTATACACAATGAATTTTGGTCCAATGTTTTTTTCGAATCGCTTTACGAAATTATTTGACATCCATTACCAGTTTTATGCATGATCTATGTGGTGCACCGTTTATGAAAACAACAACTTATAAGTTAGTCTGGCAAGTATTGCATTGAAGTGTGATATTTTCGGCAGTGGTTCCAAAGTATAATCAGCATAATAATAAAGCCTGCACATATTCATGTAACGTCTTTTACTTTTCAGTTATGAGTAACATCTACGTTACCGAACCAGCAACTCATGGTAAAGTTATTCTAAAGACCACAGTTGGGGAAATAGAAATTGAGTTATGGTCCAAAGAAGCCCCTAAAGCATGCAGAAATTTTGTCCAGCTGTGTATGGAGGGCTACTATAATGACACAGCATTCCATCGGCTTGTTCGTGGTTTCATCGTTCAGGGTGGAGATCCGACAGGTACTGGAGAAGGTGGAGAAAGTATATACGGACAACCCTTTAAGGTTGGTCAAAAGTATTTTACTTATTCTTTATGTATCTTCCGATTTTGTCGTGGTTTTTGTCCTAGCTTTTAGTTCGTTTTCTCTTATGACAGGACTACCAGATCATTATGTTTGTTCGATTCCACCATTAAAAGACACAAAATCCAGCAAAATCCCCTCTTGACAAATTTATAATCAAAAAGGTCACAGAATAGTATTTTATATATATTCTTCAAAGAGTTAAATTCTCAAAGTAAATATGAACAGTAAATAATTGTGGCAACGTAATATTGGTTGTAATACTAAGTTGTAGTGTTAATGATGACGAAATAAAATTACTTGAATGAAGGTTGTTAAACTAACATGTAACTACAAATTGAGCTAGGCCATCAAAGTAGGCTTTTTGTGTTACTACTTAAATTGACCTTTAGACAGACAACTAACCACATTTATTTGACTGTTAATTTTTTAAAGATGATTTCTTTGAAGTAGCATTCCATTTCACTATGTTAGTAACCAACTTACAGTCCCTTTTGGTTATAAACTTATTTAACAATTTATTGAGTTTAACTAGTAGAGTCCTCATGTCTTAAATCTCTTGCTCTTATATCGTTCAGACGGAAATTCATTCAAGACTATCCTTCAATCGTCGTGGCCTTGTTGGGATGGCATGCCTTGAAGAAAACATGAACGGGAGTCAGTTTTTCTTCACTCTAGGGTCGGCTACAGAACTTACAGGAAAACACACATTGTTTGGTCGTGTGGCTGGTGAAACTCTGTTCAATATGCTGCGGCTCGGTGAAGGAGATGTAGGCCGAAACGAACGACCGTTGAGGCTTCATCGGATTGTGAGCACTTATGTAAGCCATCATATATATATATATATATATATATATACTTTTGGTTAAATTCTCGTAAACTCATCCCATCAGACACTGAACGCGATGAAGGGCGTAAATAAATCAGATCTAGGCTAACCCAAAGTTTGAGGGACGACCGTGAGCAGTGGTGGGCAACGAAAGCGAAAGAGGTGGAAATGGCAGATGCTGTAGGTAACACAATACACCTTTTCAGACTAATAAAAGAAACCGAATTATTTTCAGTGAGTTAGTTTTCTACAGGATGGGGTCGCTAACCCTACGCTCAACCCTCCTCTTTTACCCGGGCTTGTGACCGGCAGTAACTCTAGAAGAGCTACAGGTGTAAGGAAGTACACTATGTAAGTTTCAGTCCCGGGTGATGTTGGTTTAGAGATTTACTTTATACGTCGTTTTATGTATATTAGAAACTTGCTAGGCACTATTGTCAAATGACCACTAAATATTGTGCTCACATACATATGAAAGTGAATGATATAAATGATTTGAGTCGTTCGGTTGTTAGTATACGACAAATGGTATTAGGTTTAAGCTGTCATAATTAGTAAGTATTACGGTCATAAGATGTGGAATAAATTCTAGGGATTTAATTCAGTCTTCCTAATGGCTGTGTCAGTTAAGGTTGTAGAAGTTAAGTTTAGAAACCATTAATTATTTTCTGTTATAGCAATATACTTGTTCAGTAAATGCTCAACTGCTCTCCCATTTTGTTTGCATTCCGATAACCAGTTACTTGTTAAATCTATTTTCGACATCGTTTTCTTTTCGTGTATTATTGTATCTTTGGTTTGTATAGCTGGTTGTAATCCAGTGGTGTTGAAGTGTTTTCTCATAATTTAAATCTTTTTTCCTCTAAAATTTTTATGGGTCGCATCGTGTAGACTCCAGGTTTTGAGCATAAGGCCGTGAGCTAAAACCGTACCTCGATTTGGTCTAGATGGTCATTTAAAATTCTATAGGTTCATAACCCAGTACTTCGCGTTTATTTTTCCTCGGTGAATCATTTGTTTCAGTTTATCTTTTAGCCACAAACCTTGACAAGCTTTAATTTAGGTAGCGCTTACAATTGCAATTCACGTACATAAGCTGTGACTCATTACCAGATAAACAAGGTTATGTGGGTATTTTTCTTTATTTACAACTATATTCACGTATCTCAGAAAGTTTAAAACTGTTTACCTAACTTGATTTGTTGATAGGTTATACTCAACCCATATGACGATATTGAACCGAGGCATCGGCCAAAGAAGGTAGTTAAATCAGGTCCCGAAGAGGAGGTTAAGGTCACTGCAAAAGCTACAAAGTAAGTCAACCTATTTCTGTAAAATAGAATTAATTTTCGAAAACGTATATATCTTGTTATCATAACTAGTTGTAAAAGATTTGGAGGAAGAAGTGTTTGTTTCAGTTATATTATTACAGTCGTTTACATGAAATCGTAACCTATTCTTAACTGGTGTTTGATAACTGGCCATGATTGTCTTATACGTGACATAGTTTCAGTAAGTATTTTAAAAGACTGACAGCTAATATGTTAATCAGTGTTAATTTATTAAGTTAAACGATGTAACAAGGATAAATAGATGTATACAAACACAAAACGAAACTGTGAAGTGAAAAAAACGAGGATAATATAGTGGGGGTAAAAGGAAATCCGAAATTGCTTGAGGCTTTCACTTTTGCTTATTGCAGGTTAGGGAGTCAAATTACCTTTTAAATGAAAATTCAGGTGTTTTGAACGTGTTTTCCTGATTTCTATAGTTTAAAGAAGCTTAATTCGCCAAATGACCAAAACAGTAAAATGATCTAAAATTGAGCTGTCGAGCTAAAATTCTGTTTTTTTTTAAGAAATGCAACTAAAAACGAACACTAGATTGCGTCAATGTATGTTACTTTGTAGGTGAATTTTCAGATCCCCACTGAATCGAGTAGATGCGGCAGTTTATCATTCAAGCATATTTGAAGCATTTTGCTTGAAAAATTTATTCATAGCTTTACTGTGAGATAGGTTTTTTCTCAAACAATGGAACAATAGATATCTAAGTATTTCTACCGATGAGAAACTGTCGCATTCTTTAAAACTGAGTTGTGCGTTACAAAGCTGTGGACCAGTATCATATCGACTGTATTCATTTCGTATGCCATGCAAGTACCCAACCGTAGCTGCTACCCTGATTTGGTGGTCGGGTTTGCCTACTGTGATGACTCAACGAGCCATATTGGCTAGAACACTTGTTCCTTTAGGTCCTTCCATGCCAGGCAGGTTGGTTGGAGAACGGTAAGACTAAAAGCACCAACTTAAGGCCCGAGGGCGGAGTTCAACAGCACCATTCAACCAAACGGGACAGTAAGAACTCGGAGAGTTAAGGACACGTGCCGTCGCCTTTTCATTGTCTCTGCGTACGTTCCCGCTGATTGGAGGTCAGATGAAGTTAAAAATGAATTTTATGGGAAGCTATCAAACCTCTTCCAAAAAGCTAAACTCTCTGGTTTGATACGTTTCAGGTGACTTTATTGCTCAAGTCGGTAAACTAAACCACTTAGGCGGATTTTACAGTGTTACAGCTCAGCGAACAGATAATGGCAGCCGTCTGTTGCAACTGTGCTCAGATAACCGTTTATTTCTGGCAAACACCAACTTTAAACATAAGGAGAAACATCATCTGACATGGAAACTTCCACAATCGACTCATCGATGAAGTTGATGATGTCACAGGTATTCAGTGTTTGACAACGCTTCTACCAGTAACACCTTCTAATATATTTCGTTCCCGCCCAGAGAAATCAAAAGACAGAGTCGAGGAGATCGGAAGAGTATATTTGGCGATGACCAATATATCGGAATTCTCTGATCTAATCTGGCTAGCGATTGCGGTTGATGTTGAGCACGGCGTTACCACACGTGATCTGGTACGGATGCCTGACCGAGCGCCTTCAGCTAAATGAGTCCACTAAAACATATGGTCAGCATCCAATGTCGAAAACCTAGTGCTATTTATTTTGGGGATTTATTTACCGCTACAGATCACTCCCCCCCCTAGTGGGGCAGTGACGACTCTAAGACGTGGCCAGCCAGAAGTTTTAACCCAACGAGTTTGTCGTTGGTAAACACTCTTCTGATAGCTTACTAAATTTAGCAGCGTCTGGTCGTCTTTCCTTACTATATGGGACGGAGGTACAACATAGTAAAAAAAAATGTACAATGAAAATTTCGGATCCTCATAAACGTCATCGTTCTTTTCCAGCCGTCCTGGAAAAGAAAAAAGAAAATGTAAGTGCATGTCGAAATACACTCGTATGTGCGTAAAAACACAATGTCGGCGGAAAAAACATGGAAAATAAACTCATGAACACGTAATAGCGTTAAAAAAAAATCGTTTTTTTGTTTTTTTTCTAAATAGAAATAAAAATATAGCATATTAAAATTGTTTTTTTTTTTTTAAAAAATAATATAAAATGTCGAGAAGTATCTTACGTGCAATAGTCGTTTAAATGTTCTGGAAATCTCACCCTTCTTCCAGAACGCGTCGTTTTAAGTTTATTTTCGGATACTGTCGAAGTATCATCGTGTGTGTTGGTTGTCGGATGAGGTATTATAAGTGTCGGAGTCGTGTCGTTCGATTGTACCGAAGGAACATCCACGTAGATAGGATTTCCTTCTAAATACGCTGCTTTTAAGCGATCGATGCTGATGCTATCGTTGGTTCCGTTCTTATCGACTATATAGTACTTAGATTCACGTTGAAGAACTTTGAAGGGTCCTTCGTATGCTGATTCGAATGGTCGTCGATGCGAGTCTCGACGAATGAAAACGTGTGTACTATATCGTAAGTCAGGTTGAACGAAAACATACGCGTGTACGAAGTTGAGACCTCGAAAAACGTCGTCTATGAATCTTTGGAATGTTTGAGCAGCATTCCTTAGACCGAAAGGCATTCGCAAAAATTCATAGAGTCCGAAGGGAGTTATGATAGCTGTTTTCGGTATGTCGTCAGTAGCCATAGGGATTTGGTTATACGCTTTAACCAAGTCGATTTTCGAAAAGACAGTTGTACCTTTCAAGGTAGCTGTCAAATCGTGAATGTGAGGCAACGGGTAACGATCGGGAATGGTTTTCGCGTTCAATCTCCGATAGTCACCAGTTGGACGCCAATCGTTGCTGTCCTTTTTAGGGACCATGTGCAACGGAGATGCATATGGGCTACTTGACGGTCGTATGATTCCTAAGTCCATCATGTGATCGAATTCGTTTTTCGCTAACCTTAGCTTTTCAGGAGCTAGTCGTCGTGCTTTAGAGAATACAGGTGGTCCTGTAGTCGTGATGTGATGTGTAACATTGCTGGTTACACACGGTAGTTTCGGTTGAGTTTGTTGTATCCCAGGGTACTTATCGAGTAGTGGTTGATAGAGTGGGTCTATCATATGTTTAACTGTGACTGGGGATACTCTACAACCAGTAAAAGAAGTTACGCAAACGGACAAATTAGTGTTTCCGTCTACTAGCCTCCGTTTGCGCGTGTCGATGATCAGATTGTGGTGTTGTAGAAGGTCCATACCAATGATTGGCATAGAAACATCTGCAATAACGAAAATCCAGTGGATGGGTTTGCGTAAGCCCACGTTAAGGTAAACGTACCTTTTGCCATACGTAGCGATCGGTTTTCCGTTTGCCACCTGTAAGTTAAAAGCCGATTCCTGAAGCCGGTCGTTAGGATTTGCTGGGAGAACGCTAACTTCTGCGCCGGTGTCGACGAGGTAGCGAACTCTCGTTGTCACATCTGTGACGAATAACAGACGGCTTTGTTCGCCGGCTACGGTTGCCGTTAACGCGTGCCGGCTTGGAAGTTTCCCGAATTTCTTTTCGAATCAGTCGGTTTCGTGTTGGGAAAATTGCAGGGTTTTCTGCAATTTCTGGAGAACTTTCCATACTGGTTATGATACCAGCACCAGTCGGGGTTATCTGTCTCTCGTGGTCTAGAGACAGATCGCTTACGAGAAATGCTTCTACGTGGTGTCCGCGATCTCTTACGGTCGGTACGAAGACTAAGATAACTCGTGAGTGTGTGACATAAGTCGGTTATATCATTCTGAGTCGTGTGAGGCTTTTCTTTGACTGAAAATACCTCGGTTGTAGGTTTCGTAATTTCTAGAATGCGGTCGGCAGATGCAGCTAGTTCGTCTAAGGCGTTGTTCTGGAACGAGACCAGAACTGCTTGCACCTGTTGGGGAAGTTTTGACAAGAAGAGTTGTTTGAATAGACCTTCGTCGAAAGTTCTTGGGCCTATTACCTCTCTCATCCGTTGCAACATGTCTGTCGCAGAACCATGTTGCAGGTCGATATTGTTGAAGAGTTGATCTAACCTTTGTCGATCGGTTAGGTCTCCTCGTTTAAGAATCGAGCGTTTTAAGATTTCGTAAGGATCGGAAACATCACTAGTAAACATACTAGGTGTTACGTACCTGTTGAATTCGCGCGGTAGTGCCTTGACTACTGCGAGGAATTGTGCACGTGTGTCGATCACGCCGTGCTCGGAGAAGTCGGCTTCTGCGTAGCAAAACCAGGCTTCGATGTTGTCGGGCCAGAAAGGCATCAGTTGAAACGAAGGCGGGGACAAAGTCTTAAGCTTGAGTACTTTAGGTGTCTGTTCCGTCGTGATGAAGTATGAAGTACGATAATGAACAAGGGGAAAATATATATATCCGGGAAAAAACACGAAAAAAAACCACAGTGTTTAAAAAAGTTAAAAAAATAAGGCAATGATATATAAAAATCCCAAAAAGGAACAGACTCACAGTTGCAATTAGGTGTACCAGATCACGTCGGTTTCACCAATGATGGTGTCACAGGTATTCAGTGTTTGACAACGCTTCTACCAGTAACACCTAATATATTTCGTTCCCGCCCAGAGAAATCAAAAGACAGAGTCGAGGAGATCGGAAGAGTATATTTGGCGATGACCAATATATCGGAATTCTCTGATCTAATCTGGCTAGCGATTGCGGTTGATGTTGAGCATGGCGTTACCACACGTGATCTGATGCGGATGCCTGACCGAGCGCCTTCAGCTAAATGAGTCCACTAAAACATATGGTCAGCATCCAATGTCGAAAACCTAGTGCTATTTATTTTGGGGATTTATTTACCGCTACAAAGTCAAATAAACCACGTTACTACTAGCCATCGTTGAAGCGACTCGATAGAAGACTGTCACTCATTTTGGAGCACATTAGACCTGGATCATACCCTCTTTTGAGCACGTATTTATCCACGTCTTTCTAGATGAATAAAAGCTCCAACAAGAAAACCCCTCGGAGTTTAACTTAATGATAGATAAGCTAAGAATATATTTCAGGAACAACTAGAGGAGTTGGTCAACAGTGAAAGTGATATCCACCCCGAGGTAGCTTAGTATGACATCCAAAAAGCTGGGGAATCAGCAGTAGTATCTATTAGTAATCAAAAGGTTTGGAAAAATCAGCTGATTTTAGTGTCGTTGTAGAACTGATAGATGTTCGAAAACTAATTCCGTCCCAGTCTGAACACAATGAGTAGCTGAGGCAGATTAAACGTAGGCTGATCATAATCTTACGTAATGATGATCATGAGCGGTGGTAGCGAATGCAGAAAGGATTGGAAACGCAGCAGTGATAGGTAACTGTAGAGAGCTGTTCAGACTTATCAAGGAGGCGGGTATTAAAAATGTGGCTGTTAGTCAAACTATCTCGGAAAAAGGGGGGACTGTTACTCACTCTCAAACCAGAAGATTAGACCGATGGGGAGAAAACTTTAGGGAAAAGTTCAACTGGTCTTCAACCTCACTTCAGTTACCCACTATCTGAATGGCAAACTGATGTAAGTCCTCCAACTCTTAGTGAGGTTGAGAAGTCTATAATTAAACTAAAGTGAGGGGAAGCATCAGAACCTAACGAACCAAGCCCTGAGATTTTTAAGGATAGTGGTCAAATTTTAGCAGTTAGATTAACTGAGATCTTAGCTAAAATCTGGGAACTGAACGTAATCCCATCTGACTGATTCCGATCTCTGATCGTCCCAGTTTATAAGAAAGGACAAAAATCCTCTTTTAACAATCACAGAGGAATCGATTTAGCTAATATAGTGTCTAAAGAATTAGCTTCAATACTACTTCGATATCTAACTAGACCTTGTGGAGAGTAAACCAGAGAAAAATTGGCTGGTTTCAGATTTGGACATAGATGTATAGACCAAATATTCACCCTTCATCAGATTCTGGTACATAGACATACTTTTTGACACCTTACTATTATTGTATTGCTTGACCTTATTACAGCGTTCGAATTTGTTGATTGTGAGGTTCTGTGGCGTTGTCTCATTTAAAGACGTACCAAATAATCACATTAACCTTGGACAGGCTCTCTTCTCGAACACTTCTGGTCGGGTCTAAGCTTGTGGCTAACCGTCGTCGGAATTGGTTACTTTAAGTGATGTTCGTCAGGGTTGTCCCCTTTCTCCACTTTTATTTAACTTTGTTATATACATGCTTTTACAGATAACACTTTCATTGTCCAACTTTTCGAGGGTCGATCTTCTACCAGGAGGTTCAATTGTTGACTTAGAATACGCAGATGATATGGTTCTGTTTGGTGAAGACGTTGACAAAGCGCACAGTCTTCTGACCACCTTGGTCAACAATGCAAGCATGTTTGGGATGCGGCTCTCTCTCTCTCTCCAAATGTAAAATGTAACTTCAAGATTGGCCTGCGTCATCGCCCTAATTATTGTTAGGGAGTGAAGTAGTTGAACACACTGACCGCTTCGCTTGTCGCGGAAGTCTCATCAGTACTGATAGTCTGGTGTCTGGTGAAATCTCGGAACGGATTCAGAAGGCTAGCTTTTCTTTCGTCAACTTGCGTTACTTGCAGTGTAGGACGATATCTGTAGGTTACTGGTGTTTGATCATAATTGTCTACAAAGCACTGCTCGTGTATTCTGGGACCACGGAGTAAGTAGTGCCATGGATTAGGAATAGAGTACTAGGTAAAGATAGTAAATTGATTAGTAAGGCAGTAAATTTTCTGGTGCAGAAGCAGGCTGGGAGAAAGCTAGGGGCAGTCACATCAATACATGTTATCAGTCCATGAAGTCACTGACAACTGAACTTCAGCATGTTAATAGGTACGGACTACCTGGTTAGTGTCCGTGTGGCTATTATAACCAATGGTTAGGGACTTGGGATGACATGGCTCGAAATCGTTTGCAACAGCTCAGGTGCATCCATTCTCTATCTTCTCCTGAATCCTGAGCTTCTGAATCCCTCATAAATTTTTTCATGTTTTATTTCACTAATTTATATTTTATATATTATCGTATCTAACGGGATGTGGCAACTTGAACCGATGTACATACGTAACAGGTTCGACGTTGTGATCGACCGAAACTAAGAAACAAACTGGGTTGTGGCACCTACTAGCATCATGTTTTGTTGCTACCTGAGTTGCCGATCCACTACTATGCCGTGTTTTGGACGTAGAACCTTCAGGCCTCACGACTTTCAGACTACTAAACTGGCGTTTGATGGTCTACATATCTTATTTCAGTCTGTCCTCGATGTTACACAACCGTCTTCCTATTGCATTGGTCAATAACTACTTCGCACCCAGACTAGCTGAACTGCACTGGTCGCGGTTTCTCATTATAACTTCAGGAATTACCTCTCAAAATTAGTCATTAATAAGCAAAATCTGACAATTGAATTTTAACAAGTGAAATATATTCGTCACTATTATCCTAACTTTACGTTTTATTTTGAATATATTAATCATTTTATAATACTTATCTTACTGGTATTTCTACGTAATACTATTTACTAACAAAATTCCCTGTATTATACCATTGGTAATTTTATTAATCGTTTATTCTGTAGGAATTTTTCTCTTCTATCTTTCGGAGAAGAAGCAGAGGAAGAGGAAGAAGTTGTAAACACAGTAGTTGAGGTGATTTTTAACGTATATAATTTTTACCGTTAATTTCTCATGTACATTCGCATTTCCTCAACAAGAGTTAACATGATTTATTTGTAAAAATACTCCATGTTATGTTTAGATTTCATCTACTATTTTTAGAAATTTCGACAAAAGAGTAAAAGTGCTCATGATCTCCTTTCTGATCCTCGTCTTAGCTCAATCCCGGTGACGATAAGCGATGAAGATGCTGAGGCAGTTAATCGTGCAAAATCAGAATTAGAAAAAGAAATTCAAGAACGACAACGGCGACGTGATGCAACACACCTTCAAGAAGATGAAGCTAAAGCCAAACGAATGTAAGCCAGTTGATATTTTCTCGCATAAGTTTTATTTATGGTTGAAAGCAACATATCGTATATTGTTGGTGTCTTTGTGCTAAATATGCATTTCATCTTTTTGTCTCTCCACTACTTGTGACTTCATAAGGGATCCATAGTTTTTAATCCCATATATTGAATTTTACTTGACGTTTGGTAAATGAGAAAAAGGTGTCTCTTTTTATTTTAATATTTTTTGTTGGTACAGAAATGCGTTCCACATAAAGATGATATATATTGGGTGGATGAAGACAATTAAACGAGAGGCTTTGTTATGTAGGCTTTTTGTGGTTTGATTGCACTGAACTTCCGATTGTTAAAATCAGTGAATACGATGCTAATCGATAGATGAACACAATAATATCAACTTGAATGAAGAAAGAACAAATATGATAGCAGAATAATATGAAGTATTTTGTTTCGTGGATTCTCCTCAGCTGCTTACAACTTAAAACCTTAGTATCAATCATTAAAACAAATGTACATATTTTCAATCAGAAACCTGTAGAATAATCTGGGTTAAAATGTGGAAATAAAGTGATATTAAGAGACCATAATACTGAGGAATAAAAATTGTTCGACCAAGTAGTCTGCATCTACCAACATGGCTCAGACTAGAAGTTAGTGATCCCAAGTACTGATACCACATTTTGCTTTGGCCAACCCTAACTTCCACTCATCCCCAATACTAGTCAGCATTGCATGTCGTGGTAATCGGTGTTCAGGTATACGTAATACGTGGCCCAACCATCCATAAGTTGAAGGATTTTTGGTGAATGAGGCAATTTGTGTAGGCGGATAGTTGTGAAAAATTGACACGGATAGCAGAAGGAAGTTTAGCACTGTTTGGGTGATAGCTATTCATGGGACCGTATTATTAGGTCATCGAGTAACTATACATCAAATAAAAGACCACTAGCTAAATGATCAGTTTTCATATAATAAAATAACGTGATTATATAAAACATATGGATAAAAAATAAAAATAATAAAATGCCATAGACGATTGGACGATATTAGCTTATAGGTTACTCATTCTTCAATCAATTAAGACCTGATTATTAGGCTTAATCCTCGGGAATCGTATCAACCTTGAACATGTGTCTTTCAGTTATTCTGCACTACATGAATGTGGTATTGTGATAAGAATTTATATCTCTTGGGGGGGGCACGTACGGTGAAGTTATTGGTACACTGTACATATGAGCATCCAGAGTCCACTCTTTTTTCTCCAACCATCGAATTTTCAAGTGTCGTACTTACGTCAATAGCTTGATCGATAAAATTCAATAACTCTTACATAAATGATTGAATATTGTCAAGTTTAACTTTATTGGTGTGATTGATTGGGTAATTAAGTATTTGGGGTTTGCTGTTTATCTTTTGTAGTGAAATGTTGCGACAAGAAGCTGAGGAATTACGTCGTCAAATAGCATTGTCAAAGCGCGCTGAAAAAAACAAACAGTCGAAAGAGAAGGAAGAATTAGAACGTAAGGCCCGTGAAGCTCAAGAGCAAAAAGAACAAGAAGAAGCTGCCTTGGCCCGCTGGGAGGCTAAACAAAAAGGCGAACTTGATGGTGATTCAAAGACTACTCAACCTTTGGTAGATGATTTAGAAACTTTTTCAGCTGATTTTGCCAGTTACAAAGCAAAGTCAAAAAAAGCTATAAAGGTAAGATCATACAAAATAATCGTATGTCCCCAATTTATTAAATCAGAATCGTTTTGTCAAATTCAAGTTTTACTTGTTGAATACATGCGATTTCGAATTCTTTTCTAAAAGTTTTGTGACGTACACTCATATCATTTTAGAGTTCTTTGAAATGTTCAGTATCTGATAAAAGTCAAACATATTTCACAATATTGCTCTCTGCTTGTATGTTATTTTTAGGCAGAAATTTTATTAAAATACATAAAAATATGGATTGTTTATTAGTTGTTACTTGTAGAGTACCTGTGATTTTCCGGAAGTGATAGAGTTAAATGTGAAAAAAGCAACTTTTTACAGCCAGACTAACATCACAAGGGCGCCAAAGATGACCCAGATTGGCATAAGCCGCTCTGGCTTTCACTACGTGCATTGATCTCATCACTCACGCCACTACCAGCACTTATGCAGCTACCCAGATACACGAACTTCTCGACTACGTCTATCTGCTCACCATCCAGGGTGAGTACAGGATTGGAATCCTGCCAGTCTTGTAGAAGTACTTTGCACTTCGAAGGTGCAAAGTACATACCATACCTACGGACACTGATTGCCAACTGATTAAGTGCGGATTGCATGCCTTGGGCATTATCGCACAGTAAGACAATATCGTCCGCATACTCAAGGTCGAGAAGTCTTTCTCCAGGCAACAGATCCACACCGCCATTGCTTACATCCATCAGGGCTGTTTCCAGAATGTCATCGATGGCAAAGTTAAAGAGGAATGGTGAGATTGGGCAACCCTGCCTAACTCCACTGCTTGAATGGAACAATGGAGAGAGGTGGTTGTATGCCCTCACTCTACCTGAGGTGCTTGCATATAGCGCTTTTAGGATGTTAATAAACTTCTCAGGCACACCCTTCTTCAATAGACAATCCCAGAGAACAGTCCTGTCCAACGAATCGAAGGCAGCCCTGATGTCAAGAAACACTACGATTGTTGGCCTTTGAAAGGTATGGCGGTGTTCTAACATTTGGCGGAGGGTGAAGATATGATCAATACATCCTCGACCAGAACGAAACCCAGCCTGCTCCTCGCGAGTCAATCTTTCTCGGGTTTTGAACAACCTACGAAGTATGACGGAAGCCAATAGCTTGGACGCAATCGGAAGTAGACTTATCCCCCGATAGTTGTTACAGGAACGACGTGAACCCTTTTTAAAGATAGGGACAATTATCGACTCATTCTATGACGTTGATAAATATGATGATACAATCATAATATCCTAACCATTCATAGTATCTTTTCATGTCATTATTGACTATTTGCATATATATTGGTTATCGACTAGATTTCCTTATGTTATGATAACACTAGATAAAAACATGACGGTAAATATTTCAAGTTCATTTCTCACATTGATGCACTTAATCTCCTTAAATTCTTTCCTCTTTACATCTTTTTCCATATTCTTAACAATCAATATTTCATTATATTTTCTGTTGAGTATTTTCTTACTGTCAATATATTTGTGAATTACATTTTATATATGACAAAGACATGTTTATTAAAAATAACATTAACAACGAAAAGAGATGTGGTTATGACATTTTCTCAGCTCCTGTATTCATCTATTACATTTTGTCGAAATCTCATTAACTTATAATATACAATTATTTCAGAATTTTTATAAACTAAGACCTAAAAAAGATTGTAGGATGAAGCGAATTAATATTCATGTTTTCTAGATCATTGAAATCACTGATTTTTGTATAAATTAATAAACTGTTTCATTAATCTAATATTATGTGGAATATATATAATGTCAAAACAACCTATGAGTTAATTTCATCTAAACTAGTAAAAAAAACTAGGCCCGATTTGGAAATAGAGTTGTGTTTTTTTTTCATTTGTTTACTAATCGTAAGAGCTGCAATTGTTTTCTTTTGAAGTAACATATATTTATTTTACAGGGTTCTGAACGTGAAGCTGTAACTTTATCATTGTTGGAACGATTCGGTAATCGTCTTCGTAGTGTTATTGGTTCCGAAGAATCAAACGAAGAACTTTGCAAATTTTCACCTATGGATGATTGGTATGTTTGCTGTTGACACATAGTACAATTTGTTTTATTTGAAACAAGTGGTACATTACTTACTTGCGCCTGTCACTCCCGATGGATCATAGGCCACCGACCAGCATTATCCAACCCATTTTGTCCTGGGCCTTCCTTTCCAGTTTCATCCAATTTTTGTTCATTTTTCTCATGCCTGTCTCCATTTCTCGGCGTAATGTGTTCTTTGGCCTTGAGGATTCCACGTGAGGGCTTGTGTTGTGACACAGTTGGGTGCTTTCTTCAGTGTATGTCCTATCCACTTCCAGCGTTTCTTCCTAATTTCTTCCTCCACTGGGATCTGGTTTGTTCTTTCCCACAGTTGGTTGTTGCTAATAGTGTCCGACCAACGGATCCGAAGTATTTTGCTTAGACAACTGTTAATAAACACCTGTATCTTCTAGATGATGGGTTTCGTAGTTCTCCAGGTTTCCGCCCCATACAGTAGAACTGTCTTGACATTTGTATTGAAAATCCTGACCTTGGTGTTGGTTGACATTTGTTTTGAGATCCAGATGTTCTTCAGTTGTAAATATGCTGCTCTCGCTTTGCTGATCCGCGCCTTCACATCTGCTTAACATCCACCGTGTTCATCGATGATGCTGCCCAAATATGTAAAGGTTTTTATATCTTTCAAATCTTCTCCATCAAGTGTGATTTGATTGGCACATTCTGTGTTGTATCGGAGAATCTTACTTTTCCGTTTGTGTATGTTGAGGCTGTTGCTACATTGGTCGTCTTCTCCTGCATTTGTTACTGTGATTGTGATAGGAGGGCCAGATCATCTGTGAAGTCTAGATCGTCCAGCTGCATCCTAGCTGTCCACTGTATTCCATGCTTCCCCTTCGATGTTGACGTCTTCATGAGAGTAAGCAACCTTGCCTGACACCGGTCTTTACCTCGAACGAGTTTGTCAGCTGTCTTCCATGCACGATTTTGCAGTTTAATCCATCATTGCAATTCTGTATGATACTGACTATCTTCTGAGGCACGCCATAGTGTCGAAGAAGCTAAGTGGTACATATAACTGTTTAAATATTCATTGTAATAGATAAATGTTATTTACTTTAGGATACGAATAATGAAAATATTAGTTTAGTGATTTAGATCACACGATCCACGTTTGGGAAATATTTTTTCCTGGCAGCTTCGATTTTGGAGCTGTGTTTGTTCTGCATATTAATCTTTTGTGAGCGTCCAGCATGTTTATCTAGCAAAATTGTCGCATTTGTCACGTAGTACTGAAATCAGGAAATGTTTTCAGCGGATTTGTATAGGTTCAATTTGAAAACTGATATTTTATTTATTCTGTTAAAGTCTCATATCCTTCTCCACCTCAGATACTGTTTTCATCCGTCAAATATCAACCCTTACTCAAGGCTAATTTGTACTTGATTTATTGAGTAGTAACCGCTTCTAATGATTACCTTTAAAAGTGTTGTAAATATTTGAAGTACGTCAAACATATAAAAACTAAATGTTTTGCGCCAAATTAGTGTAATAATCTAGTACTGTCAAGAGGGGCTTAAAACTTAGGAATAAATAGGTAATGAATTATAAGCAAACTGAAACATATACATCGCTGATTACAGAACTACTTATTGAAATACTCACTATTTTAACTAGCTTTTAGGTAACCCACATTCAGAAGATTTATTGAGATTTCCATGCCTATATGATTCATAGTTTTTAATAAAATGTAATTTAAAGTCACTCATCTCGTATTTTTGATATTCCAGGATGAAAAATCGTCTAGTATCGGAAGTTCCAACACCAGCTAGAAAAGTTCTTGATCCTACTATGCCACATCCTGATCGTTATGATTTGTATGATCCTAGAAATCCTCTTAATGTTCGTAAGAGGGGTGGAGATGTGGAAAGTATGATAGAGAAAAAATCTCGGCGTGTTTAAGATGTTTCTGACAAATTTGTATTCATTTTTCTGTACATAAGTTGTTGTGAATGTATTTTATACAGTGGAATGCAGCACGTTTCTTCTAATGAATTATATAAGTTTTTGTAATTCTTGATTCACTTCCCTTACAAAACAATCAAATTTGTAAATAACTGATTTTATTAACACACACTGTTCAACCCAAAACTACTGAATTTCTTGATGACCTGAATTTGTGTCTTATGTTGATGATAAGCTTCAACTGTAATTGTTGAGGAAAATTTAAATATTTATGTAGATTATATTAATCAAACAAAAGTATGCTGATTCAACTGATTGAACAATCAGACAGCACTTCGATATTCATTAGAATGAACTTAAGATTATCGCTTTTTTGTTTCCGTCACAAAGCTAGAGAATTTAAAGATCTTATTTAAAAAGTTTCGTTGAATTCGCTTTGAAGTGAGTAGTGATAAACTATACATCCCATGAAATTGACTGTTTGATTCCGATTTCTAATTTACGGCTGCGAAACACGGCCATTAAGGGTAGTGTACTCGTAAGTTACTAGTGTTTGATCACAAATGTCCTGGAAATATTGTTCGCATCTGCTGAGATCACGGGGCAGGTAACAGTGAGGTTAGACTTAGAGTATTAGGGAATGATGACAAATCAGTTAATGATATTATGAATCTTCATCTACTGAGATATTTGGGCCATGTATTAAGCGTACCGAACCACTGACTACCACGGCGCGCAATATCTATTTATTCAAACATATAAGTATTGGTACAAAGGAGCACCAAATACATATACGCCACACTTCATTCGATTTGTGTGAGGGCTTGAATACTGCCCGGGGTCACTGTAGGAAGCAATTTCCTACAGGTGTAACTCTAAACTGTCGAGCACAGAGTCTTGGTTTAAACAAAGTTAGAACAAGTAAGCTATTTGGCTTGGTAAACTTTATGTGTTTCTAAAACATAAATTAACACCGTTAGTATACAAAATAAACAATACAGTCTATCAACACAGGGAAAAACAGACATAAATAACATACTGAACAGTAACTAGAGGATAGGAAAAATGAGTCAACAAGGCGAACATTGTTTTTTAATGAACATAAAATTGTGATTGGTGAATAAACAAGACATAGTCATACAAGGTAAAAGAAAGTTAATGTGGTGGTGGGCGTTTCACTTGATCATTGGTGAGTTCGTTTTTCGGTTACAATTTACAGTCACTTCCTGAGCCTTTGACCTGGAGGTCTTATCCATAAGACAGTGGAACAACGTCAGGAGATGCAGTCCCATGATTGCCGGTGATCAACAGTGGGTTCATACGTCATTTTTACCCTCAGCACCATGTAGCCCATGTGCACGATTGGTTTGAAATCAGGGTTCTTCAACTCACCTAAGTGGATCCTCCGTACCCGCTAACCCGCTTAAAGTACCGGACATCTGCTTTCCGTCCTCACAATTTTATAAACAACCATCCAGCCTCAAAAAGTCAGTGAGTAGGATTTCCCTGTCAGTGACTGTATACGCGTGGCCATATGAGAGCATTTTGAGAGGAAGAGCTGACTCTCCCCACCCTGGGCCGTAGCAGGGCATTTGGGGGCGCGCAATGCTGACTGGTGTTGGAGACGGATGAGAGAAATTTATGGTTGGCCATACCAAAACTCGGCATCACTAACTTCTAGTCTGAGCCATGTTGGTAGATGCAGACTACTTGGTTGGGGTCCGTGCAACTATCTTAACCAATGGTTGGGGACTCTGGTTGACATGGCTCAGAATCGATTACAGTGACACAGATGTATACACTCTTTGTCTTCCCTTAAACCGTGAGATTAAAATTGCTTTATACCTTTCTTTCTACGAACTGATTCTTTCTTCCTGTATTATATCCTTATACATAATCTTTCTTTTATATATTACTACCAATGAAGTGACTACTTCTGTGATTTCGTTGTTCATCTTGTTGTGCTAATGAGGTGTGTTAACTCGGACCGATGCATATATGTGCCTTGTCTTACGTTTTAGCTGACTGGCTACAATTTCAAAAATATCCCCCTAATATTTCTAATAAACATTTAGCAATAAATGATTGTGATTATTCTTAAGTGTAACTTATTTGGAATTATTCCTGGCTGTATTCTGTGCCGCTCAACTAAATTGGTGTTATTAGTTAATACTTGACATAACTCAAGAACAAACCGCAGAGCAGTCTTCTAATCGACTTTATTCTTGGGACTCCCTTATTCATGTTCATATTTTTTGATGACTTCAATCAACACAAATGTAATATTAGAATTAATTAGCAGATATTGGTTGAAAATCAATTGTCAAATTTAGAATTCATCACAGAAGCAGTTTTTTGTGGGGTGATACTTGGTTTTTACCAGAAGGAGAAATTGTTGCTTTTTATGAAGTCTCGATCATCATCTAGAAAAATCTATCCATTTTGTAATGTACAGTTTCCGACTACACAAGGTTTTCCCTTTATCGAAATAATACGATTACAATATGATGAGGGGTTGCGCCCCATCATGGGTCGATTAGAGTTAGACATAAACACTGTTGAATGCTGGCTCAGTGGTCTAGAGGTTAAGTGTTTGTGCACGAAGCCGTAGGTTTTGGGTTTGAGTCCCCCCTGCCTGATCCTGAATGCGCACTGTTGAGGAGTCTCATACTAGGATTGTGCTTCAATGGTGGTTTAGCTTAGATTGATTCATGAACTCAACTGTTAAAATTACTATAATCTCCACAGATCCCCATCCGGATAATACTTGCAGATATCTGGTTTTAGAAATAGTAGTGCTAGTTTTAAACTCTTAAATTCATGCGTGAATAAAAAGGTTTTGTTGCGTTTGAACTACTTTCAAAGCACAAACTGTCATTCACAAACAAATTTGAATTAAATGGTCGAGTGTACAACTGATTCCGAAGTTCAAATTACTCAAATTTGGTGATATTGACGTACGCTAAATCATTTTCCCGTCATAAAGGCAACTTCAAGTTACTTATTTTAGGAGTTTATAAAATCCTCACTGCTACTGTTATTAAGCCGCTTGATTACAAATTACATTTAACTGAATAAACAATCGGTATTAAAATGTAAATGTTACAGAATAATTCAGCATAAAATAAAATTAGGATAAATGGGTTAAAAGTATCCACGAAAATCAAAAGGTTGAAAGTTTTGTGACAGGTGTTCCTTACGTTTATATTTTAGTATGAATACAATGGTTCAGAGAGTTTTATTCGGTGAGTTCTCTACATATCCTAACTTCGTTTTGAATCTGATGTCCAGAATTTCAATTCTTGATTCAGGAATTAGGCGTATAAGTTTAAAATCACATGGATGTACCTATGTAAGTCTAGGTCTGATTCACTCTTTACACTTCTAAACACATGATGATTTTTCATTAAACATCTGTCAACAAATTCGTGTACAAATCATACATGAAATAGTCATAGTGAAAGTGATTATCATCATAGACGTTAGAATCAATGATACAATCTCTATTATATCCACCACTTGAATACTTTTATTTCACTAAATAACATTTATAAGCTTTTTTTTAAATTTTATTCAAAGTTTGAGCAACTTCTTACACACAAGTCGGGAACAAAATGAAAATAGACAGAATAGGAACAAAATAGAAAACAATAGCAACACCAATAACATAGAAGAGTATATAGATTGTCTACAAATAAAATTAGGGACAAGAGTTCAAACAGAATTTAATCAACCACTATAAATTAGTTCAAATGTTAAAATATTACTTAAATACCTAAATTTTAAACTAATATGCATTGTTGTTTTGTGTTTTAAAAGGGAATGAATGAAACTTTGTAATGGGCTTTCAATTATATATATATATATATATAATTAGTTGTCAAGTTTATTTTCAGAAAAGTAAAGAATAACGAAATAAAAGCAAGAATTTGAATGATCCATACAATTCATCTTATTGCATTTTATGATATACTAACTGATCTAAGATGAATATAAATTACTTGATATTTTATTCTTTCTATAGCCTGACAATAACTGTATCCGTAACAACTGCAATAATATTAATAACAATTAAACCTAGAAAATAGAGTGTTAAATTAAGGAAACATTGTTGCTTTTTGAAAAAAGAATATTGTGTTGTAGAGGAGATATTTCTTGAGAATCAAATGGGTAATAAATAGGTGTAATGTTACATTTATTTGTCTGTGTACAATTGTGTTTCCTATATTAGTTGAATAAAAGAAAAGAGATTAGTTAGTGGGAAATAGGTTTGGGACTAAAACAACAGTATATTATTATTATTAGTAGTAGTAGTAGTAGTAATAGTAGTAGTTGTGGTATTATACAAAGCATATGACTATCTCTCATAATCCTCATTCTTGATAACGCTGTTATCTAATCATTTCAGCTGTACACGGCATAATACACCAGATAATACATGAATCCTTTACGTAAGTTTGTATATATATGTATATACGTGTGTGTGTGTGTGTGTGTAAGTGTATTTATTTGTGAAAATAAGATCAGTGACGAAAAAAGTGCAAGTGTATAGAAATTTTCTCAGTATAATTGAGGAAAAAGAAGAAAATCACACGTATTTCAAATCAAACAAATCATAATAATAGAAGAAATAAAGAAAAATTTTCAAAATGTTCGAAACTGGAAAACTTTTATTTCTTTTCATTTATTCTATCATAATATGTTTATCAATTGCTGATGATGATGGCGATGATGACAATAATCTACTTGATTTAATTATTATTTTCCAGCATTATTTTGTTGTTTAGCTTTTAAAGCGGCTGAAATGAATTTTTTCGCAGTTTTAATTGTTTTCATTGCTGGTGAATTAGTATCACTTGACATTGAACGACCAGTGTTTAAAGTAGTTTTAGGCGATGGATTTGATTGATTTGAATTTTCAGTTAATAAATTAAAAAAGAAAAATGCTAAACTAGCATTAATCAATAAAACGAAGACGATAACGAAATTAGCATGAATCCAATCCTATAAAGTAAAAAAAACGGAAGGTAATATTATAAATAATTGTTGAATCCCAATGCGAATAATGAATGGTAACTTTTGGGATCCATTTATGAACCAATACTATGCGTATATTTTTATTGTATAATTTTTAAGTAACCAAAGTATTCATATTCGTGTTCCTCTTATCATAAGCTTTATTTTGACCTGTGAACTATTAT